GAGCAACCGGGTCTAAGCGGGCTAGAGAGGAGCAACCGGGTCTAAGCGGGATAGAGAGGAGCAACCGGGACAGAGCGGGCTAGAGAGGAGCAACCGGGTCTAAACGGGATAGAGAGGAGACACTAGATCTAAGTGGGCTAGAGAGGAGCAACCGGGTCTAAGCGGGCTAGAGAGAAGCAATTGGGACAGAACGAGCTAGAGAGGAGCAGTCTGACTGGATGGCAGTAGAGATGGCAGCTGTTACCTCTACAGGAAATTATGTCAGCTAAAGGACCAGGAGAGATGGCAGTTACAGGCAATCCATTGGTAGACTAACTGGATACAAAAAGGACGTTTAAGACCTCTGAATAAAAACTTGTAAAGTAATGATGTCATAACGACCTACAGAAGCAATTGCTGTAGGCGATGCTGTATTGATTCATTCGATCAAAACAAATATGGAATTAAGTCATAGCTCCTAGGTTGCACAGTCCCGTTAAAACCTTGGACGACATTTGGTAAATAAATATTTCGTGGCGAGTAGATGTTGACCAAACACACCGTTGTTTCTCAACCGAAAACATAAAGGGACCCCGGCACATGATGCTGAACTATGTCCCCAGTTTGAAAGTGGATTTCTCGCTTTTGTGTATAATTTGACTTTTTAGACGGAGGTAAAAAGTAGGTTCTGCCGACACTATTCGCCGAGCTCACAAACTACAACTGCCTCCATTGTTACTCGGAGCTGGTCCTCGGCAGAACAGACCACCAGACGGAGTTGAAGTGTGAATAATGGCACCGAGCTAACGGCTAGATCTATCCGCGATAACCTCCGACTGGCAGCCCAACTGCTAGCTCCACCGGCTAACCGCCGCGTTAGCTAGCCCGCATTACACCTGTCCCAGGGCGGGCTACTCCTACCTGCACCAGCCCACTGCTGGGGGTCACTAGCCGGTTCGATTTTTTAAAGTTTAAAGTGAAAATAAAGTTATTTTTTCAAATCCAAAACTGTATAGAAGCTTCCCAAACAGTAAGTCTGAACAACACCGCAGCGCTCGGAAGCTTAAATGTATGAACCGAGCGGGCTTGGGAACTACTTACTCGTAGGTCCTGAAGATTTCGTGTGTGATTTTACAGAGGAACACTTCTTCCTCCGGCCGCAGGTCCGCCGGTGGTTTGTGTCGGATGAAGGCTCTTCTGTGGAGTAGCGGCATGTTTTTGCTCCGCTTCCACTCTGGGAGACAGAGGAGAGAAAGCAAAGTGACCCACGAGACCGAGAGATAAAACTCCGGCTAAACACAAACTGCTAGTCCGAACAGGAAAAAGTGGACCATAGAGGAAAAGTGGCAAAGGCCAAACCGTAAGCGGCGGCAGAGAGGAGGACGAAAGCGGGTCTTTTGTTAGACGCGCCGATAATCTGTCCACATGGAAGTGTTTTTCCCCCCACTATCCGAGCCGACACACTCAACTCTGACTCGACCCAGCACGAAGCCCAGATCCACCGGCGGATAAATGGATGTGGCAGGAATGCGTTTTCTAGCGGTCTTTACCAAGTTGTGTAACGACGAGGCGATAACCGGCAATCCAAACTGAGGAGGAAGAAGTCCGGGCTAAATCGGCTCACAGGCGGCTTGTTGACGAAGTTTTCACGTACTTCACGGACTCGCACGCAGCTGGGAAATTTCAGTGCTTCAACGTCGTCTGCACGTATGCTTGATTCAGGAGGATTAAAGTGATCAAACGAAAATAGAATTGATTATCTTACGTTAAGATATTTTACCATCGACGATGCATACACGTGAACATGTTCAATAGATGGCTTTGGATGTGAATATTTGTAGACGAACGTCAAAATAGAGAATCAAACAGGGGAAAAGACTATTGACGCTACGTTTAACTCAAATACAAAAAAAGTTGCCTTGTTTATGACTTTCAGGTTCGTGAGTTAGATTGCTGGCTCAATTTGTTAATGAAACGTGATACGGGTTTGCTGAAAGAGCAGCATTAGCCACACACGTGGTGTGACTCCCAGTCACCATTAGCCAAACAATGGAGGTGCCCGGGTTGCAACAGGTCTTTCAAAATAACTTTCTGCCATGACAGGCGGAAAGGGGCCGTTACGTCACTGTACGTGTGGTGCATCGATAACTCGGTCCCTGCTGATACAACAGGGGCCAGGAACTTTGAAGTGAATGTAGGCGTTTGAGAGTGTAGATAGCGTGACTTAACAACAGAAAATTTTTCACTAAGGTACTAAAAATGTCAATAAAATTATTACTAACGGGAAACAACTGAGTCAGCTTCAGTGCTCTTCCTCTCTACACAAGGGTGGGATGTAGAGTAAGTGATTCCATTGATCATCATCATAAAACTGACATTGATTTTCCGGGTCAAGGCCCAGTCAGTTGCTACTTACACCAAACTGCCCCAAATTACATCTTGAGCACATACTTATATATATTTTTCCAGATAATTGTCACTGCCTTGCTCTTAATTTCTTCTTGAAATTCTCACTGTAAACTGGCAAATGGCACAAGCAGTTCTTATGGGTCAAGTTTTCATATCAGGATGTATAAGAAAAAATGTTGGGGAAAAAAAGAACAAAAATAATTGTTGAAAATCATCTGATGAATTTACCATGAATATTTTTTCTTTATCTTTCTATACATACATGCTTTGCAGAGGCTTACCCATACATAGTATTTTCACCTTCGTTGGGTTTCAGCTTCCTGTACCACTCCAGTTCATCATTAATTAATGATTCATTAATCATTAATTAATGAATAAAATCAAATAATGCATTACTTACATAAAATAAATTCATTATGACTAAAGTTATTGCGAGGGAACAAAAAAGGAAAAAAACTGTCCGTGTTGTGTAATGAAACAAAAGGTGTGTTTTATTGTAAATTTAAAGTCTGCTATCAAATCATTACAAAAATTCAATCCAGTTTTATTAATATAATCCCAAGAAATGTAATCTCAAGGCACTTCAATGATAGAGTCACTTCCGGAAAATTACTATCTAACCCGCTGAAATAGTAGAATGTTTACATGATCAGTCCATAGTTCACTTCAAGGTTACAGAGGGGGCTAAAACACATCCCAACTTTCATCGGAAAGGTCACCTTTCCATCACTCAGAGGGTCAACTTAGATCACCCAACATAACTTAAGATATCTTCATTTATGTTAGGTAACATAACAGTAGCATAGCTGAATATGCAAGTTTTTGGAGGGGTGGAAGAAGGCCAGATAAAACTCATCTTTACATCGGAAGAACATGACAATTGCACACATAGAGAACCAGCTTGAATTAAAACCAATAATCCACTGTACACACTAATCAAATTTGAAATGAATTCAAGTCACACAAATTTAAAAATGCCAGAAAAAATAAGACTGCTGTGCGTGCGTTTCAATATCAGGTATTAAAGATCTTAGACTGGAAACACTAACTGACACCATTTCTAATGGAAACCAGACACTGAGTTTTATGGAATTGTAAATTCAGGCCTACAGTGAGGAAAATAAGTGTTTGAACACCCTGTTATTTTGCAAGTTCTCCCACTTGGAAATCATGGAGGCGTCTGAAATTGTCATCGTAGGTGCATGTCCACTTTGAGAGTAATAATCTTACAAAAATAAAAAAAGCCAAAAATCACATTATATGATTTTTAAAACTATTTATTTTTATGATACAGCTGTAAATAAATATTTGAACACCTGAGAAAATTTTGTACAGTAGCCTTTGTTTGCAATTACAAAGGTCAGACATTTCCTGTAGTTTTCCCATCAGGTTTGCACACACTGCAGGAAGGATTTTGACATTGTTAGTGGACTTATGAGCAAAAAGTTATATTTTGGTCTCATCTGACCACTTGACTTTCTCCAATGACTCCTCTGGATCCTCCAGATGGTCATTGGTAAACTTAAGACAGGCCTTGACATGTGCTGGTTTAAGCAGGGGAGCCTTTCGTGACATGTATGATTTCAAACCATGACGTCTTAGTGTATTACCAACAGTAACTTTGGAAACACTGGTCCCAGCTCTTTTCAGGTCATTGGCCAGCTCTTCCCATGTAGTTCTGGGCTGATTTCACATCTTTCTTAGGATCACTGAGAACCCACGAGGTGAGATCTTGCATGAAGCCCCAGTCCGAGGGAGATTGACAGTCATGTTTAGCTTCTTCCATTTTCTAATGATTGCTCCAACAGTGGACCCTTTTTCCCCAAGCTGCTTGGCAATTTCCCCGTAGCCATTTCTCGCCTTGTGGAGGTGTACAGTTTTGTCTCTAGTGTCTTTGGACAGCTCTTTGGTCTTGGTTATGTTAGTAGTTGGATTCTTACTGATTGTGTGGACAGGACAGGTGTCTTTATGCAGCTAACGACCTCCAACAGGTGCATCTAATTTAGGATAATAAGTGGAGGTGGACATTTTGATGGCAGACTAAGGTCTTTGAGAATCAGAATTCTAGCTGATAGACAGGTGTTCAAATACTTATTTGCAGCTGTATTATACAAATAATTAGTTTAAAAAATCATATATGATTTCTTTTTTTAAGATTATGTCTCTCACAGTGGACATGCACCTACGATGACAATTTCAGACCCCTTCCTGATTTCTAAATGGGAGAACTTGCAACATAGCAGGGTGTTCAAATACTTATTTTCCTCATTGTAAAAGTAAAAATGGTTCAGTCATGTCCAAGTTCCTTTATAGATGAAGTACACTATGTACAGATCAATCAGTTTGTGGTCATATGACCTTGTACAAGTGAATCTGCCTAAGAGCTTCGGGGTCTATGTCGCTGCCCAGGTAGACGTCATAGTCCACAGGAAGCTCTTCCACCCAGCCGGGCTGCTGCAGCATCTGATGGACACAAAACACAAGTGCCTTAATATCACTATGTTAAACCATGGACAACATAGTGATTTCACATGCATTTCTCTTCTTTCATGACTTTACCTGCAGGGAGCTGAGACTTTCTTGCAGACTGGGGACCGTCACCAGCAGAGATCCAGTCCTCCTAAAAGTCTGCATGATGACTGTCCATGCTCTAAACACAATTGGACACACAAAACAAACTATTAAAGGTTTTTGTTTTGTGTATATTTTCAGTGCTATTCTCAGTTGCATTACCTGACTTGCTCTTCAGGCTCCATGAAGTATTCAAATACATTGTTCATGATTAGAACATCAGCACTTTGTAACAGAACGCCTTGTGTGCAGACATCAGCATGAACCACCTGCAAAGATTAGGGCTGGTTTCAGCTGCCATGCATAAGTATGTGAAAAAAAATCCATTCAAATTAGTTGAAAGTCATTTAGAGGAACAAACCTTTACTCTGTCCGTCATGCTATACTTTTGCAGGGTCTCATTCTGCAATCTGACAAATTCTTCACTGAGCTCAAGGCCAAGAAGCTGAGTGGCTGAGCTGTACACATACCCCTACGCAATAAAACATAACACAACATGTATTAAATACTCACATGCTGCATATACAGCATATGATGAGTGTTCACTCAAAGGATTTTAATCCATCTCCACTGCACATCCTATAAAAGCTTACATAATACCATGATCTTTTTAGTTTGTTTAAAATTGTGTTAATTATTATTGATAAATAATGTGATGGCTAGAATAATGGCACTCTGTACTATGGTGTACATCAGGCCCCATGTTCAATTACTGTTGTTATCAGTTGTAAGCTACCATTTAAGTGTCTGCTAAATTACTAAATAAACTGCAATTCCATTGGGAATCTTAGAATGCAAAAGCTAAAAAAGTACAATATACTATTAAGAAAAGACCACAATGCAGTTGGACAAGGTGTTCTGTATTTTGTGTATCTATCAAAGAAGAAATGGTTCAAATGAGACAACAGTAACTGCAATGTCTGAAATGTTTGAGTGTTGGTGTGATGTGCTCTGACCCCATACAGCACAGCCCCCAATCTCGAGCCCACATCTATCACTGTCCGGCCACTTAGATCTGGAAGAACATACTGGAACAGGAACTGAAGCTCTGCCACTGAGAACGAGTGAGAGATAAAGTCTGCAAGAGGAAATGGAGACAACAACAGTGACCATGAGGTCTGAAGTAGATTCATCATCCAGACCGAGCTCTGTGTGTGCTTCTCTTTATCAACAATGATAATAATAAAAACCATACTCCACTACATTCCTGATATCATTTAATGTCACTGGTCACATTCACTTCTATATTTTGTTAGGAGTTTTATTCTTTTTGCCATTTTTTCTTTTAATTTTCTGTTTTGATAAGTTAAGGTTAGTTTTACAGTGTCTATGATATTTTGTATCGAATTTGTACTGAATTTTTTAATTTAGCCTTTTCTCTTTTTTGCCCTCTCTGTGCTGCTTCTGTCCTATGTTAAGCTTCTGGAACTCGAATTTCCCTGAAGGCGTCATCTCAGGGCATAAATAATAAAGTCTAAAGGCTTTCGCCACTCGTTACTTCCGTTGTCTACTCTGTCCCACCGACACACTGTACGTATAATAACACACTACTCTCCTGTACAGCAGGTGGCGATATGAAGCCTTAAACTAGTTACGAGAAAGAAAAAAAGAGTCCTATCAGTGTTGCCATACCCGTACACTGAGCGCGATCAGATGGATGATGATGCTGACATGAATCGTGGGTTACTCGTGCTGTAATTTTAGTTTAATCGCATGTTGTTGTCCTGTTAACTCTCAAGTAATATTTCAAGTTCCAGCTTTTCTTTGACTTCTGCTGAAAACATTTATTTCAATGTATTCCATTGATTCAAACTGAGTTCCCCTCTAATTTGTAGACATTTGCCCTGTATCCAGAGGGTTGCCGTTTGGAATCTCCAACCCAGTGCAGACTGTCTTTGTGTCCCTGGACAAGACATATAACCCAACCTGCCCATTATGACTGAAGTGGTCCTTTGGGACATTTTTAGCTGCAGAATGACACTCCTATACCAGGAGTGAATGAATAATCCATTAATTTTACAGCGTCTTCGAGTATCCGGAGAATACCTTCATAATCCTAATGTTTTATTATTACAGTTATAACTATCATACATATACATTTTTTGGGGTGCATTTTTTATTGTTCTCGATTGCACTCGATTAAAATGGACTGTTAAAAAAAAGATTGTTTTCAAAATTGAGCATTTTCAAATACTACTGAATCCTTAACTACTTGAAAGCAGATACTCCCAAACTTTAACTCAAGTAATAATGTGACAGAGTTACAGTTAATTTTACTGTTGTACCATTTGACCAGTAGAACCTGTACTTTTACTCAAGTAAATAAACTGAGCACTTTGTCCACCACTGTGCTTTCTCTCCCATGAAGCAAATGTAGGCAGAGATATTAAAAAAACAAGTGTAAGGTAGAAAATATTTTGGCTGTGACACAACTTCTGCCTTAACGCACCGAACAACTAACTGTGTGACAGCTGTCAGAACATCCATTCTCCACAGACAGATGTTATGATTGGTGCCCAGGCTAGATTTCTTAAAGCACCCCAGGGGTAAAACGGTACTAAAAGCAAAGGAGTCATCCACATACAGCGGCTTTGTGCAGCTCCATGTTCTTCATGCAGTATATCTTGTTGCATAAAACGGAGGAAGTATCTGGAGCTTCCCAGAATCTCCCTCAGACCACACTTGAATTTTTCTGGCACTAGGCTGGAGTCAAAACAGGGAGATAGGGTCAGACTGTCCCAAGATGGAGCTGAAGTGTAATCGCTAATCACAGCTAGCAAACATCCCCTGGTTGTTTTAGTGCTAGACAGCGGCCATCAAGACAACTTTAAACTCTCTACTGCCTCTTTACTGGACACTTTACTGATAAATAAGGGTCCAGTATGGGTCATGGGAACAGTAATTGTCTGTCATGATAGCATGTGTGGAATCGTTCATGTAAACACACATGCAAAGTCTTTGATTTCTTTTCCATTTTTAAAACTAAAGGGAAGTCTGTTATTGTATCATGAGCACAACTTGTCACCTGAAACCAAAAGTGCCAAAAACAGCACTGTTGGTTCTGAAGCCACAATACAGATTGAGCTATATAAAGTTTTAACCAAAATCTAGGTTGTACAGCTAACTTTATATGCATATGACTGCAAATCAAACTACCAATCAATGCTGTTTGTCCTCACTACTTTACCTCCTCTTTTTTTCATAATATAACCTGATAAAATAGTTATTATGTTGTTTATTATTTTTCATTACGACAGTTTTAGTCATACATACAATCCTACCTGATCTTTAAAGACAGCTTTAGCTAAAACATTTTTTTTTTTTTCCTAAAGGGAATTTGCCCATGTTGTTTCATATGACTGTCATCTTGTTATACTGCCTGTACATATATATCCGTTTGTGTGTTGTGTATCAAACTTTAGTTTGACAGACTATTGCTTTGCTCTGAAAGTCAAACTGACAGCAGACATGTGGGTATCTGTGAAGGTGGATGCATTCCTCTGGACATGTTTATGTTTATGCATTTAGCAGACGCTTTAATCCAAAGCGAGCTACAAAGTAGGTCACCTGTCATTAAGTAAATGAGGACCTTAAACTTTTGTCTGTCCTGTTGGGTGTTACTAAATTATCTGTCAGAGGCAGCTAAAAGAAATGTTAAGGAACTTCTAATTAATGGACTGGACCTTAAAAACAAGATTCATATTCTCATTACACCTGTCCTGTCTCATGGGTGGCCAGCAGATGTCGCCATCTTTAATTGCATCAAATGCTTGAACCATCTAAGTGCAGCTGCTTCACACTGATCCAGAAGGCTTCGGTTTTTCCATCACTGCTGATAAAAATGCTGATTAACCCAGAGGACATGACACACTTTCCCACTGTGCATCAGTACAATCTCAGATGACCTTAGCACAGAGCAACCGTTGTCTTGGTGTTTTTGATATCCTACATTCTCTTTGCATGGTAGAGTTTTAACTTGTGGATGTAGTGACAAGCTGTTTTAGCTGAAAATTACATTTGGATGTTTTTTTTTTTATGGTGAACCCCTTCTGAGTGGTCAAAGAGGTCAAAGGTCACAGGCATTTTGTGTCGGTTTTCGGTTGCCTGTTTGCTGAAATTTTTCTGGATTCTTTCATTGTTATTGAACTATTTGTTGACTTGGCGGTTAAAAAATGGTGCACTTTGCCCAATTGTAACAGTGACTGGGGGAAGCTTTTGTTATATACACAATCATTACATTCACCTGTTTCCAAACTGGAGTCTCTGGAGCACCAGTAAATATATAAAAATAACAATCAAATTCATCATTCTGAACATTAAATAGCATGTTGTGTCTTTAGCTTAAGATCTGTCTGAAAAGGCTTTGCAATTAATTGTACGTTTATTTGTTTTGCCCGTGTTTACTACTGTTTCGTCCTCTGTTTGCCTCCAAACCCTGTTAAATACTCAGCAGCATAGTTCAGAGGTGTTTTTTTTTTATATATATAATGTGAAATAACAGAAACCTTTTAAGGAAGCTGAGCAATGATTTTACCATTTAGTGTTCTTATGGCCCAAGGGGGAAAAAAAGCATTATTTGCCTTGTGGTAATCTGTTGTGTAACGAATAGTGGGTGGAAAAAGATATCCAGCTCATTGTGTACCACAAATCTAATAGATGTTTCAGTTTCCTTGTCTAGGTCAGCGTGATGTGCTCTCACCCAAAGGTGCAGTCCTGAGGGATCCACAGCTGAGGCAGTAGGTCCTGGTCATGGCCCCCTCGCCACATAGTTTGTCCACCTGCTCATCGCTGTACAGGAAGCTGTCTACATGAACTGTCCGCTGTTTCCGCTGCTGCATCTGAGACATTTAAAACAATAATTCTGCTCCAATTATGCGTTTAGTCTCCCGTCCCTAACCTGGAGCATCAGCCCCAAGATTAAAGATGCTTGTATTCTAAAAAAAAAACATAATTTTATCCTAATAACATCTTTAGGGAAAAAAAACAAACTGAAAATGAACCACAAAAACTGCCAGGAAATGTTGTCTTTTATGTATCTGACATTTTGAAAGACTTAAAAAAAATTTTATCTGGCATTTTATTAATTTAGTCATAATTTCATTACATCTTTACCCTGTTCAGCAGAAATGTTCAAATGTCTTAGTTCTCAAATGCATTACAATGCACAAAAATAATCTATGGACCACTTGTTTATGAACAATCCAGAGTTTACCAGCTATTTTTGTCACAAACGTTAACTACCGTAGTACTGATAACTGTACCAGTTTTCTATGGTAATATCTTAACATTTTTAGTAGCTAAAGGCAGTCACATACAATTTGCAAGTGATGATGGGAGACCTACTTCCTTGTAACACTAGTATGATGTCTAGCATTGAGGTGGGTCTTTATGTAAAGTAGTTTTTCTTATGAAAACAAAATAAAAAGGGATTTCAGATTAATAAGGGCTTTTCGTATGAAGACGCTGAATATTAAGGACAGCAAGAATCTGTGGTAGGTTCATAGTCTATCACTGGACCAACTCAGATCCAAGGGATCCCGCACAAACTCCACACAGAAAGGCCCAGGCCAAGTTCTAAGCCTTGACCTCGGCGGTACCTTGAGTTGTGCAGTGGTCTCAGAAGCCAGCATGCTATCCAGAGGTAGTCTGACTCTCAGGTCGTCCGCTATGCTCTCCAGTATCACCTTCTTGTTGTCCACCAGGAGGTCATCCAACTCATCTGGAGGAGGAAATACACATGCACAGAACATTATTTACCACTGGCAGGGAACATGACAGAAGCTCTGAACCTGAGACTCCGATGGATTTTACTGAGACACTTCTGATAGCAATCATCTGCCGAAAGCCAAACAGTATGGAACACCACTCCCCTAATTGGCAGCACTGACCCTCATAAAAACTGTTCAAAAAGTGTAATATCAGTGTAAACAATACATTTTTTTAGACAAACATGTAGGGACACGCATCAGAAAAAAAGACACCAGCGAAAAACGAACTGTACAATTGATAAATTAGTCTATAAAATGGATCAATACATTATCCTCTTTTAGATTTAGTACATCTATAATTTAGACCGTGGCATGCTGAACACCTCACTGTCACAGTGTTCCACACATGCTGTGCCTGCCTGCACCCTCCAGCCAGCTTTAATGTCCCATACGAATTCACAAATAGGAGAACCTTCCATATAGTAGCATGTAGCCCCAGAATTCAGCCTGAGGGATTTCGGGCACCAACACCAGTCCTGAAACTCTACCGTGGGCAGTTGTAGAACATGTGACAGTTCAGTTCTAGGGCCCACGTTGTCTGTGGACGTGAGGCCAACTATATGTAGTCGCTTCTGATTTACCTCCAACTGGTTCAGGCTCTTCCTATCAGCAAAGTAATTTTAATCATCTAAAGAAAAAGTTTCACATAACCATATGTCCAGACCCCTTTGCCTGCCAACAAGTTCACACTACACTTAAACTTGAATCCCCTTTTCCACAACAGGGGAGCCCAGGTGAAGCATGTGAAGCATGCGTTGTCATCAAATCAAGCAGTTGTCCATAAAGAGACCTACTTGAACCTCGAATTGCATAAATGTTAGGAAAGGTGGTCAGCACTCCCTCAAATGTCCTTTTTTAAAGAACTGGTCTCACTTCTTCAGGGTCAGAAATGTTTAGAAAATACATCCCACCTAACAGTAGGCAAGGCACACCTCTTTTTAAACTAAAAACATAGCATTTTGTGGTACTGCAGTAGTTTGTCCCATTTACATACTGAACATCTGGATAGATGTTTCCCTCCTTCTCCTAATTTCAGTAAACCTGCAGATGTTGGGCAGATGTGTGTAACGTGCTGTCTGTGGTAACCACGGACGCCTTCCGGACCTGAGTTTCTCATCCAGTCCAGCAGCTTGGGCAGCTCAGACGGCCTCACTTTCCCGAGCAGCTGCATCAGCTCCGTCTTCCCTTCGGTAGCGTTCATGCCGAGCCCACAAAGCCAGCGGGAGGCGGCCGCAGGAACATCCGCGTGGTTGCCGAATTACGTGAATTAGGAAGGCCAGGCAGGTGGAAGCACAGACACATGTGTTTTATATGTCTCTGGGTGGAAGCTTTCAGAGCAGTTTCTTCTTCGTATTTAGCAGTTTTCATCGCGTTACCCCACTACTGCCCCCTTCTGGCGGAACAGTCAGCTACAGTCTGTATGCGCCTCCGCGGAGCCCCCTGCTAATATGGGAATTTTTTAAATGTATTTTGCGTTCCCACACTATATGTTTTGCGTGCCCATAATCATGCAGGACATTAATCAGCGTGGACACAATGAACACCCACAGCCTTTGAAGACGTTTACAAAGTTTTAGTTTGAGATCGGTCTGCAATATAAACATATTATCGTGTAACAACGTAAAGTCTACTGTGAGGGCAAGCAAAACTTGCGGCCAGTGCATGCAAAGGCATTGCGTGGGAACGCAAAAGAAAAAGAAAAAAAAAGCCATTTCACCTGGGGGGCTCTGTAAAAAACGAATTTGTTATGTATATTCTTATTCACAAAGCATTTCTGAATTTGCACTAAACCCTGTGGAAACAGGGTTTTTTCAAATGTGTATCTGACCAGCTTGGTGTGAGACCATTCTTTATCTGGGCTTTTCTTTTGGAACACAGATTCTGATTCTTTTGTAGGGGTCATTTATGCTATTTAAATTTGTCACCAGAATGAAATGATATTGGTTGAATGTGACACACACAGTAACATGTAATATTAATAAAGATTAAAGGACAAAAAGTGTAACGAACGCAGTTACATGAGCATTTTTTTTGTGTGAATTTATTTTATTTTTTGTGAATGAATATGTTTTACTTTTAATATCTATTTAATATCTTTGTGTATTTTGATTAATATGTAAATACTTTTGAAAATGGTTTAACAATGTTATATTGAGATGTCGCCGATTGGGTTCACAAAATCACGTGATGCCTTGGCTGAGTTGTTTACAATTAGTCCGTATGCAGGAGAAAAAGGAAAAGGACGGAAAGAAAGGACTCCTAGTAACTCCTAACCTTCTGGTTGGAGGGGCATACGGTACGGACAATTAAGAAAATGTATATTTTGTTTAAGAAGTTTAATTTGATAATTCATGTAGGTTTTGTTGATGTGTATTTTGTACCGTGTATTTGCAGTGTTCACGGTGGTCTTGGGCGAGCATTACGGCAAGTCCGTTAATAAACGTTTCAAACCATCAGTTGGATGTCTGCACTTTCCTAAACCAGTGTGAAAAAGTTGGGAGCAGCTATAAAAAGCATTGACTCTTTTTTTATGTACATGAGGAATTTAACACAAAAAGCCCAAATATGCGCCTTTACAATAAGGAAGTTAGTAAAGAATTGTTGAAAAGAAAGTGTGAGTAAAGTTTAGATGGAATTCAGATACATTCATACTTGTTTCCCTATATGTTCTGAAGTCAGGAGGGATCTGAAAACAATATTTCTTTATGCATTTGAGCACTTCTGATTTACACCAGAACGCAAAAACCTAATTTTCTCACAGGTGTTTTGTTTGAAAATGTTGCCACAAACCTAATCCAAAGTAAACAGAGGCTGTTGGCCCACAGCCACAAGTTCTCAGTTGGGATGTGCACAGACATCGATTGTGTATGAAATTAAATGTAATGTACTTAAAATGTACAATAGAATTACCCAAAAGAAGACAAAATAGGAGACGATTCTGATGACCAAATGAATTAATAGAAATTAACATGAGATCACTTCACAATTTGGCAAAGTGTTGACAATTATGACTCATTTCCACAAGTGCCTACTTAGTCCTGATATCTGGCATGGTTGCAGCCACTTCCACCATTAATATTTTATGGTGCCTTTGAGATAATTACTCATTTCTTCCTGCTCTGTTTCTTTTGTGTGTTTTCTCAATTTATGTTTCTGCTGTGGGGCGGCGCGGTGGTGTGGTGGTTAGCACTGTCGCCTCCCAGCAAGAGGGTTCTGGGTTTGAATCCCGGGGGAACCAGGACCTTTCTGGGTGGAGTTTGCATGTTCTCCCTGTGTCTGTGTGGGTTCTCTCCGGGTTCTCCGGCTTCCTCCCACAGTCCAAAAACCTGCATGTTAGGCTGATTGGAGATTGGGGAATTTGCCCTTAGGAGTCAACGTGAGTGTCAGCGGTTGTTTGTCCTTGTATGTCCTATATGTGGCCCTGCGATGGACTGGCGGACTGTCCGGGGTGTACCCTGCCTCTCGCCTGTTGACCACTGGGATAGGCTCCAGTTCCCCCGCGACCCCAACAGGGAATAAGTGGTATTGATGATGGATGGATGTTTCTGCGGTTCAAAATGTATTGTATTGCTTTTTTTCACCACATGGCAAAGAAAAAAGAAAGCAAAGAATGTAACCATTTTAGCATTGGGATCTGACGATGTACATTTTATTTATTGTATTCACAGTCTGCACCACACCAAATGAATAAGTCTATATAGAGATATAGACAAGATTCAATCTCACGTAATACAAACAGAAACCTTGTAACACATAACCATAAGAAAAAAATTAAGTTACTGAGTTCATACAAATCACAAAGATAGCTACATTTACGTTTATGAATACTTAGTGAGTTAATAAGATAATAAACAGACTAAACTCCACCCACTCTGTATCCCCTCTATTCACCGTAGGGATATTTGATGAGTGCAGCCTGCCCAGGGCCAAGCCGCAGGTTTGCCAGGTCCACTCTGCTGCCGGGCAGGACACTGCTGTTGGTGCTGAAAACAAGTGTAGCGTGTGGTGGCACCGCTGCACCGCTCAGCAACACAGCTGCCTCCTCTGCCGCCCAATTGAAGGCAGCCAGCTAACGATCACTCTGATCCCACACCCACAGGTATGCCATTGAGGAGGAGGAGTTAGAGAGTAGAGTGAAGTCACCAAACAACAGGGACCACTCTTTCCCACGCAGCTCACTCACACTGCGGAAGAAATTGCGGCACGACTGACGCTCAGCCATCTCCTCCTGCAAAAACACAGAAGAGACTTAGATTAGTTATATGAATATCAGTATGACAATTTCTAAAAGGACTGTTGCTGCGGTCCAAGGCGCTGGATTACAGATGTACAACAGGTACAACAGATGTACCTCATTTTCCTTGGTTGAGCCTCTGATTAGCTCTCACCATCCAACAGCTGGCTTTGGCTAAAATGTTTCAGTGGACTGCTTTGACAGTCAATCATGTTGAGACTAGAGATCCCCTTTCACAAACTGCACTGCTTTAAGGAGGCGTAAGAGACAGATTAAGCACCTTGTTAATGTTTGAGTAAGCTTCTGGGATCTAATAGGAGCCATTCACTGAGTAGGCTCCCAAGTGTTTTCCAGACGGCAATAAACGTGTCCTTTCTGTCACAGTGGTATCTTTGTCAATCATATTTCTTGAGAATGCTGCAAACTGTTGTATTTTCCCAAAATCCAGAATATTTTGACATGTTATGGGGTAGTGTGGCCGAGCGGTCCAAGGTGCTGGATTAAGGCTCCAGTCTCTTCGGAGGCGTGGGTTCGAATCCCACCACTGCCATAGCTGTTTTCACCAAATTTCCCATTGTGTATGAAGAAAGCTTTCTATCTATCTTCCTGATAGCATTTGTCTTTCATCTGTCAGCATCACCATTAGAAACAGTGTGCTTATAATGGCCTTTACCATCAAGCAGAAGTGTGAACTGTCCATGTGTTCATCCTTCCATTTTCCAATAGTCAGCTTTTCCTTCTGAAACCTGGTGGATCTTGTCTAAAAGCAAAAACTCATTCCACAACGTGGAGGATCATTAAACTATGAAACAATTAATGAAATGATAATCACTCCTCTGCTACGCTCTGCTACTCTGGAGTTGCCCCCGGTGAGAGGCGCCGAGCAGGAGTGGGCATACTCATTGCCCCCCATCTCGGTGCCTGTACGTTGGGGTTTACCCCAGTGAGCGAGAGGGTAGCATCCCTTCGCCTTCGGGTGGGGGGACGGGTCCTGACTGTCGTTTGTGCCTATGCGCCTACCGGCAGCACAGAGTACCCACCCTTTTTGGAGTCCTTAGAGGGGGTACTGGAGGGTGCCCCCCCTGGGGACTCCCTCGTTTTGCTGGGGGACTTCAACGCTCATGCGGGCAACGACAGTGAGACCTGGAGGGGCGTGGTTGGGAGGAATGGCCCCCCCAGCTTGAACCCGAGCGGTGTTCTGTTTTTGGACTTCTGTGCTCGGCACGGATTGTCCATAACGAACACCATGTTCAGGCATAAGAGTGTCCATATGTGCACCTGGCACCAGGACACTCTAGGCCGCAGCTCAATGATCGACTTTGTTGTCGTTTCAGCTGATCTGCGGCCGTATGTTCTGGACACTCGGGTCAAGGGGGGGCGGAGCTTTCCACTGACCACTACCTGGTGGTGAGTTGGCTCCGATGGTGGGGGAGCATGCCGGTGAGACCCGGGAGGCCCAAACGTGTTGTGAGGGTCTGCTGGGAGCGCCTGGCGGAGTCCCCTGTTAGGCGGAGCTTTAACTCTCACCTCCGGGAGAGCTTCAAGCACGTTCCGAGGGAGGCGGGGGACATTGAGTCCGAGTGGGCCGTGTTCCGCGCCTCCATCAATGACGCGGCCTCCCGGAGCTGCGGTTGCAGGGCTGTCGGTGCCTGTCGTGGCGGCAACCCTCGAACCCGCTGGTGGACACCGGCGGTGAGGGATGCCGTCAGGCTGAAGAAGGAGTCCTATCGGGCCTTTTTGGCCTGTGGGACTCCGGAGGCAGCCGATGGGTACCCGCAGTCCAAGCGACATGCGGCTCGGGTGGTCGCCGAGGCAAAAACTCGGGCGTGGGAGGAGTTTGGGGAGGCCATGGAAAAAGACTTCCGCATGGCCTCGAGGCGATTCTGGTCCACCATCCGGCGTCTCAGGGGGGGGGAAGCAGTGCCCCACCAACACTGTTTACAGTGGGGATGGGGTGCTGTTGACCTCAACTCGTGACGTTGTGGGTCGGTGGGCGGAGTACTTCGAGGACCTCCTCAATCCCACTGGCGCGTCCTCCATTGGAGGGGCAGAGCCTGGGGATCCGGAGTTGGGATCTCTAATCTCCGGGGCTGAAGTCACCGAGGTAGTCAAAAAGCTCCGCGGTGGCAAGGCTCCG